GAACACACCTGGGCCTGCCAGGAACAGATTAGGGCAGAAGAGAAGGACTGAGGCAGAGGGCACAACCAGCTGGGTAAACGTGTCAGAGGTCATAAAACACAACTGCTAGCAAGTTGTTTCAGAGGCTTTCCTTAAAAAGAAGACATACTCAAGAACTGGGCCCAAAATCACTTGATGTTTAGGGCTACAGTGCACTGTACACAGAAACAATCAGAAAGTGATATTCACAATCCTTCACTTCCACATGGGCACACCCAATCAAAAGACGCTGTTTCAGGGTGTGGTGGTGCAATCCTGTAATCCCAACAGTCGGGAGGCCGAGGCAGGTTGATTGTTGCAAATTTGAGACCAGGCTGGACTACAAAGTGAGTCCAAGGGCAGCCTGAACCATGTAGTGAGGCCCTGTCTCAAAACAAAAAAAAAAAAAACGAACAAACAAACAAACAAAAAACACAGAAAGAAAGAAGAAAAAAGAGCACCCCGGGGGATATAGCTCAGTGGCACAGCACCTGCCTGGCAAGTACAAGGTCATGAGTTGGATTCCTGGTACAAAAGAAAAAAAAAAAAAATGAAAGACACTGTTTCAAATCTCCCCTTTACATCTGGAGAGAGGCCAAGCAAATTTTTCTGTGTGACAACTTACATTTGGGCTTGGGTTGTGACCCAAGTGAGTTTTTGATAGAACAAATGTCCCACTGCCTATTGCATGAGAGTGAGGCCAATTTAGGTATTTTTGATACTAAAGAGCACTTTCCTTTTATTCCCTGAGGCTTCTGTAACCCTTTTCACCCGGCTTGTAAAGTGTACTTCTTTTCCACTTTCAACAAATGAACACTGTTGGTGACTTTTCTGTGGGAACTGTCCAATTCTTTGGGACACCAAGAACCAGGAAAGGACCCCACCTCACCCCCAAATCTAGTAAAAGGAGGAGAGGAATAAGTATAACTTTCTCTCTTTCTGTTCTTTGAACTCCATGAAGCCAGGGGTAACGGTGACAGATGATCTAGTCTAGCTTGTTTTCCATTGCTTTCTCCATTATTTTCAGTCAAACAAGTCCAACACAGATCATAAATTCTTAGCAAATTTAGTCTGGCCCATATCAATGTATATGCAATTAGTCCCCCTCAAAATATTCAGTCCTCCCACCCTGCTTCAAAGACACTTACCTGTCATTCTTAATGTGTGTTTTCCATAAATATCTTTTAAAATTAAGCATTCACTGTAGTTTTTATGGAGGCTAAGAGGACAATTATACTTTTTGGCTTTATAATGAACTAATTAGTAACATCCTGTAATGTCCTGTCCAGTTTCTAGGCCTCAGGCCTTTGACTCAAGGCAAAAAGTTAAATGAAAAGAAAGCAAAGAAGAAAGAGAGAGACAGCAATAAAGGAAGAAAAAAGAAAGTTGACACACATTCTTTTTGTATACAGAGTGGAAGCTTAGAGAATGTATTTTGTTGAATAAAAGAAAAAAACATTTTATAAAATAAGTGATTGGTTTCTGGAAGAGCAAACTTTGCTAAAATAAATCTCAGTGGTTCTGTGCTTTCACAAAGGTTTACCTTGATGTGCTGACGCGCTCAGGTGGAAGGCAGCAGCATTGCAAACAGTGCGGCATTCTTGAAGGAGCTCAAGAATGCTGTGCCTTGGCAACGTGAGAAGAATCTGGAGCTCAGAGAGGAATCCAGAAGGAAGGAGAAAAAGGAAGAAATTGACCCTGCAATTGCGTTGTGGAAAAGATTGAAGAACTGTTTTAAGGATGTCTAATATTCAACATTAAATTGTTTTGTCTCAAAACTCTGGTAAAGTCTGCTTTAGGCAAAACACACGTGAGTGGTTCTCATAAAGTCCCAGTGTTTGTGGAGTTTTGGAGCAAAAGCCCCAGCTCTGTACCTGTCTCAAAGTGCTAGATCTGGAGACCAGCAGTGATGCAAAACAGGAAATGAGCTTTGATCAGCATAACCATGCTGAGAAGCACAAGGAGTTTGAACTCTAGTTTTCAAGGAGTTGACAGAAGCTTGTGGTTTTATAGACAAGGGGAGCAAAGGCTAGGCCTCGGGGGGAGGGGGCTGCACAGTTGGCAGCATAGATAATCCTGGTCAAACTGTACTCTGGGTGATGGGTATCTCAGAGCTGGGTCTGGGAGGACCTGGGAGGGACAACACTGCTTGTGGGGCCAATTCAGTTCCAACCATGAGATGACAGCTCCTGCTTGGGGGAGCAGCCTCACCTCTAAACATGGGATAATTGTTCCTATCATAGTGTGGTGGGGTGGCCTCTGCTTTTCCTGGAATCTAAAGTGGCTGCAGGTTTAAGACAAGGACTGGAGATTTCTAGGCGTCTCTCCAGGAGATGTAGAACTGCATGCTGTATACATTACAGGATTGTCACTGACAATCCTGAAAATTAGTTATTCTTATCTTGGCGTCCTCAGTCTTGTGGGGAAAAAAATAGACTAGGTAAATTCAGGCCAGTAAACCTTGTAATACTTGTTAACTGATACTCATATTTAGGACTGAGTAGGGATCTGACCCAAACTTTAAGATAACAGCGAGATGTAAACAATGAAGGAAGAGATGCCAAGCTTTATCCTACTTTTAATTACCCATTAGGCATCTACAGGACTGAGCCCTAAATTATTATTACACTAACAAGGAAATAATAAAGACCAGTAATAAACACACAGAGGTATGATTTATTGAGTGTTTAGTATGTCCTGAAATTTTACCAACACAGATAGCTATGCTGTCTATGTCATAGTAGCCTGGTGAAATAGTTCTTACACTCATGTTTTAGGTGAGGAGACCCAGGCTCAGTGAGGATAAGAAGCTCATGCAAGGGCGCAGGGCCAGCACACCGCAGAACTAAGATTTCAAAACAAACCCTGGTCCTTCTCATTATGCGACACCATTCTATAAATGGTGCATCTTGCTGCATCTTCCTTATAAAGCCGATGTCCAGTCTCTTAACTAAAGATCATTGACAAGTACCCCCATCCCCTCTACGGCTGCTCATTTCACAGTGAAAGTGCTCCATGCCGAGTCAAATCTGTTTCCCTGGCTCCACTCACAAATCTCTCATCTGTTTTCTGGGCTACCCAGAATAAATCTAATCCTTCTTTCATGGACCAGGCTCAGAATTTGGTATCTCAGAATATTCCTTTTAGGCATTTGCATTATTTTGAGCTACAGGCTACTGAAAGAACAGGAAACTCAGGACCGGAAAAACTATAAAAAAAAAAGGACACGAGTAGTTCTTTTGTTAAGGAAATTTCTATTTATAAAAGAGATTTAAATCTTTCCTTTTGTCTTGACATTTCTCTAAAAATTTACTATTTTGTTGAAGCTATCATACACACACACATGCATGCACATTTCCAGATACAGACTGACTGATATGTATGAATTCAAGTTTACCTTTTGAAAATTATACTCTGGGTATCTCTCATGTATATGTGAAATATACGTTAATAAACATGTTTGTCTTTCTGTTGTGCATCCTTTTGTAATAGGTGTCAGTTGTAAGAACTTATGAGTCTTGAAGAAAAAGTTACTTTCCTTCTCTACAACTCTACCACCTACACATTTTCAGGTAGTCAATATTCCTTCATGCTAAACACAATTTGTTGGACTAATACAACCTAAAAAGCGGTACTCTCATCTTATTCTTCAGGGTTTTTTTGTTGTTGTTTTTGTTTTTACAACTCAAGATCTGATCACTGCAGAGAAATGAAGTGTTATTCTCCACCGGTTATTGTTTTGCTGCAGTAAACAGTAACAACTTCATTGCATCTATAACATACTATATGGTTATACAGAGAAGCAGCAGAGGAAACAAAAGTGAGTTATAATAGTACTTGCAGCAGGCCAGGAGTTTAGCTCAGGGGCATAAGTACCTGCCTGGTAAGCACACGGTCAAGAGTTCAATCCCCGGTACCACAAAAAGGCAAATGATAATAACAGTACCTGTGGCCTTTGCAGCTCTATGAGACTAAGTCAATATTAGAAAATGTCTAATCTTGTGTTCACTATTTATAGAAACTGGAAGGGTGAAGTAGTAAAAGGGTGACCTTAAGAGGTCAGTTAAAAGAAGCACTCGGGCACAGCAGAGGGATGCTTTAAACACACGGATGAACCTGCTAGAGATGCCTGCAAATAGCACTGCAAATTGGGCAGCCAATGCTCTGATGGGGCACCAGTTACAGTAATACTGTATTTATGTACCAGAGTTTGGCAAGAGAGGGCACTTTTAGCTCTCCAGGCCTGTTTTCTCACCTCCAAAATGTGGATGTAGCAAAGCCCTGAGATCGCCCTAGCACACCACACACACACACAAACACACACACACACACACACACACACATAAAATGTTAATGTGGGACTTGAACCACAGAAGGGCAGTTCAGGAACACACACACACACACACACACACACACACAAAATGTTAATGTGGGACTTGAACCACAGAAGGGCAGTTCAGGAACACGCCATTAGGGGAACCCAAGGGCACCTGCAAGGGGTGGTGGCCCTTCCTAAAGTCTGTGGACTGCTGAGGCTGGGAGGGAAGCCAAGGGAAAAGGAACAAAACAAAACAGAACAAAACGAAAAGAAAACCGATTAAAAAAGGATAAAGTGTAAACAAACTTTGTAAATAGGGAGAGAATGATGGGTTAAAGGGAGGAGAGGGGATTGGGGGAAAAAAGGAATCAAAATATATCAAGTACAGGTACAAATTCCCTACGATGAACATGATCATCATGTATATCTAAAATGTACAAAATTTTAAAAAAAGGTGGGATCTGTTACAAAAATGTGTGCAAAGGGGGTGTATCACACCGTGGATGGGCAAGAATGCCCGGGATGCCAACGGCCACCCACGGTTTCCCACTAGCTGCAGAGGCGCTTCCGCAGCTCTGTCCCACCTCCACAGGGCGGAGCTACACCGCGCGCGCCCTCCCGGCCTCCGTCCTTCTCCCGACTCCACCCAGGTACGGGGCGGGGCTCTGGGGAGGGGCGGGGCCGCGGCCCTGACAGCGCTTCTGGCCCCCGCGGCCAGCCACGTCCCTCACGTACCGCCGGCCACAGTGCCGAGCGGCGAGGGGGGCCGGAGACTCACCTCCTCCGGCCGGGCTCAGCATGAAGCTTACGCGTTTGCTGCGCGGGGCTGCCTCGGCCCGTCCGGGGCCTGGGCCGCGCGCCACCCACCCCAGCGCCAGCCGCAGCCTCGCCTCAGACTCGGGCACCGGGCCTGCGTCGGACCGAAGCGTACCGGGCCAGGTGGACTTCTACGCGCGCTTCTCGCCGTCGCCGCTCTCCATGAAGCAGTTCTTGGACTTCGGTGAGTGCTGCCCGGCTGCGGGCCTTTGTGCGCCGCCGGGAGCGCGGAACTGTGGCCCGCGCTCACCTCTTCTCTCTTTTCCTGACTGCTGCCCCGCACCCTCAGCGCTTTCTTCCTTCCTTGAGGGTGCTGGCGCGCAGGGCGGGCCAGTAACGGCACATGTGGCTTTTTACCCTGTGTTGTCGAAAAATAGACCCGGAGGGACGCAGGCAGAATGGACTCCCGCTTTGGCACACAAGTGTGCAGGTGCGCGTTCCGGACAGGCCCCTTCGGATAAGCTGGGCTCCGTCGAGAGTCTGGGTGTCACCTTCGGACTCTGCAGAGTGATGGTAAATGCAATCGTACGATAATTGTGTAGCAATGCTGCAAGGAAAAACAAGTTATCACTGGCCCAGTGTTTCTTCAGAATGTTTCCCTTGACAGTGCCATAAGAGCGTGTCCATCAGCAGCACTTTAGTTTCAGCAGCAGTACATACGTGTTGAGCATGTATAAAGCACACGAGTATAAGGGGCTGTGAAATTTACCACTTCTCACCTTGGTTTGTGTGGAGCAGATTGCAGAAGGCATTGCAGTTAGCCATTTGACTTTGACTTCTCATATGGGAGGAACAGGGACGTACTATTATCTACACTCAGTCTTTGAGTGCAATTTATCTTCTTCATGGTAAGTGCTATCAGGTCACTAACACTGCTAGTTGACTAAAAAGATAATGCCATGGCAGGCCGCTTTATTTTATTTTTATGATGTTTGTATTTTATGAAAAGGCAGCTTTATTTTAAAACTGGATTCTAGTGGCAGGGTTTAGAGATTTGTTTTTGTTTTTTGCTTTTGTTGTTTTCAGCTCAAAGTTCTTGATTTTGTTTTTACTTTAAAATGAGTACAGTGTAGTGAAGGACGGAATTTAACTTTGTTTATAACCATATTAATAAACTTTCTTAAGTGGATATTTTTCTTTATTGCCCTTACTCTAGTTTTTGCTAAGGTCTCTGGTAAAGCAACAAGAGTGAATTAGACGAAAAAGAGTTGGTGAAGTAATATGACTGGTTTAGCTCTAAGTGAAGTGGCCATGTGCAACTTATATCTGGCTGCTTAGCATCCTGATACATAGTAGGGAAAAGGCTGGGTACCCTTTCAGCACCCAGTTGAGCAGGTATTCCTTTGCAGGTGGTTGAAGAACAGGCATTGTTTGTTGGTTTTTTTGTGTGTATGGGGGGGGGATGGTTTTTGTTCTTTCTTTTGCTTAAAAGCTTTTCTCTGCACTTATGCTTTGTTTGTGGAAATCTGTACTAATGGTGCTATGTGGCGAATTTTCCTTTGCACAGGTCAAAGTGTCCCTGTGTCTTAGACAGGTGTTCACTTTTTATAAACCTAGTGTTAGGAAACAAACTTTTTCAGTGATAGTAGCAACAGGGTACATAGGATAGGCTTTTTCAGGTTCTGCTGTTGAGCCCCAAGTCTTATTCATACATGTTCAAGTCATCTTACTTTTAAGAAGTTGTAAGGATGGAAGGGAAATAGAAGAATCTGGAGTCTTTTTTATTTTTTCCTTGTAACATTGGGGATTGAACCCAAAACTTTTTGCACTGAGCTATATCCCTAGCCCACCATCTCTTAATTTTTTTCACTTTTTAACAGTTTCTTTCTGAGTTGCTCAAGCTGGGCTGAAATTTGTGATCCTTCTACCTCAACTTCACAGAGTATTGAGATTACAGGCATGTACCTATAACTGAGCTCACCATGCCCAACTGAGCATATCTTAATTGCAATGAAGAGGTTATCAGGAATTTGGTTATCAGGAAGAGGTTATCAGGAATTTGGAAGGTCATTGTGGATTTACATTAACTTTAAAGGTTCTCTTATCTCTTCTTCAGACCTAAATTTAGGGCTAGGATTAGTATCTTTGCCTTTTGGTCTCTTCTGGTCATTATGGTGGTCATATCACTCTGGGTTTGCCAGGTTAATCCCCCTCTTTCTTGGCTTCTGTTGCATTATTGCTTTTATTTAACTTCTATCACCACTGTTTGGGTTTCAGGATCAGTGAATGCTTGTGAAAAGACCTCATTTATGTTTCTTCGGCAAGAGTTGCCTGTTAGATTGGCAAATATAATGAAGGAAATAAGTCTCCTTCCAGATAATCTTCTCAGGACGCCATCTGTTCAACTGGTACAAAGCTGGTAAGATTCCCATATCTTGCTTACAGTTTTTATGGAACTGTGGACTTCACTCAAGGGTTAAAGCAAATGCTTCTTTTACTTTTCAATAGAAATCTTAAGATAATGGCATTAATCCTCTGCTGTGTGTATGTGGGTGTGTTTGTGTATTTGTGTGTGTATCTAGGCTTGACCTATGTGTTTGCTAGGATTATCTACTTCTTAGCTTTGAAAAAAGCAGTCAGACCTACATAAAAATATACATACAAAATTTAAGATTTGTAACTAAACCTGAAGGGATATTATATTTTGATAGAAGAAAAATATCTACCATTTGATGGTAGATATTTATACATATTACCTTTAATTGCTCGAGAACCCTGCTGAATAGGTTCTCTATTTTACAGATGAGAAAACTGAGGCACATAAAAGGTGAAGTCCTTTGCCTAAGCCAATATTGTGCATCACTGATATTGAAGCTAGGATTCAGACCAGACCCATATTTGTCTGTATCTGTTATATTGTCATGGGATTGGTAAAATATATTCAAGTCTATACATATTTTTTATAAAATGAATTTATTTTATTGGTGCATACCTTTTAGAAATCACAAAAGTTAAAACTTTTATTCCTCTGTTTTTCTAATATGTATTTATTTTACATTGTAATGGAGGTAATGCATTGTAATGCAGTATTTAAATATATGCACACACAGTGTGTACTGTGTTACAGGAATAATATCGAAACTAATTTCTCTTCCCACAGACTATAGGAAAGGTCTTAAAGGGTATGCATTTGTATCTGACAACCTATTTACAGTTGTTAATGCCATTGCATTAAAAAAGTATTGTTTTGAGCACTATAAATTAAAAGAAAAAAGCTGGTTGAAATTAAATTTTACATGGAAAAATTTTATTAGAAGACATTTCCTAATTATGATTCATGTGGAGATATAATTTTCCTTTTGTGGGCGATAGAGTTTGTGAGAGAAGCTGTTCTAACATTAAATTTTAAAAGGAGTAAAAGAAGTAGTATGACTGCTACATGTATAATAATGAGATGCTATCTAGTCCAAGTAGGTAACAATTATAAATGTGGTATAGGTGAGAGGCATTGTTTTGGAGATCTGTGGAATATGAAAAAGAAAATACAATTTTCTGAGGAAGCTTTTTCCAGTTTTTTAAAGTTATAAATAGCATATGCTGTTTTAAAAAATCTGGTCTTGCCTAGCACAGGATAAGTATTCAGAAATGTATCTTAATTAAAAAGCAGAGCATATTTATTCTTGCCTGTGAAGAGATTATTAAGAGTTAAGTAGAACCTCAGCTACTAGAGTCACTTGACTTGGAATGCAGGGAGACATGCTGCTAGTCAGAAATAGCTTTCCAAACCAACTTACAGCTTTACAGATTTTAAAATAACTTTCATTGGCTCTGGATGCCTAATAAATTAAGAAAGTGCTTATAGACAAGATAAAGTGCTTATAGACAAGCTGGGCACAACTTAAAACTGTTGAAGAAGGTAACTGAATGGCTGGGATTTTTAAACTCTGGCCTCTGTAGTAGCTGGATGACCTTGAGAAAGTCACTAGGCCTTTTGTTGTTTGTGTTACCTTGAACTGTTACATCACAATGTTACACATTTATTAGACTGTCTTAAAGGGAGTAGTAACAGTTCATTTTTTTAAAACATGATTTTGATGTAAAAATAGTGTATATTAAAAATTCTTTTGTTGTACTTTGCTATCTTGGATGGTAAGGTACACTGAACACCTATGTTTTCATAATTATTATATTTTTATTTAGTTCTGTTTAGAAGAACAAAGGGATACATTGCAGGATTTCAATAAATCTTCATTGACTAGACAAAAACATCTAAAACTATTGTTTTAACACACCCTCCCTTTAAAGTTTTTGAGACAGAGTCTTGCTGAATAACTGAGTTGCTGAGATATGGCCCAAACTCATGATCCTCCTGCCTTATCTCCCTTTCTGGTGGGAATATGGATATGAAAGATTCAAGTTATATTCTTAAAGCCAGGTGGATCAGCCTCTTCCTTTTACTGTGACTGAATAGGTCATTTGTCTAACATGGTGAAGCAGTAACAGATTCAGTTCTCATAATAATTGTTGTTTATACCATAAAATATAGTAGAGTTTCAAAGATTTAAAAACTAGGATAGAGCTTAAAACTCTGACATCAGCTTGATCAATATTTTTAAAGAAAAATACATACTTCTGCTTTGTGCCTAAGATTTGGCTTAACAATAAATGGGTGTAAAAATCCTACTTCACTCTCCAGAGGTTGAGGCAGGAAGGTGGCTGTGAGTTTGAGTCCAGCCTGTGTTACATAATGAGAACCTGTCTCAAAAAAAAAAAAAAAAAATCCTACTTCAACCATAATTTTATAGTAGTATTCTAAATTAAAATTATAAACTGTTTAAAATAGCTTTTGAGCTAATTTTCATGATATTAAACTTTTGGACTACAAAAGAACAAAGTAAACCTTTTGATTTGTACCTTAGGTATATCCAGAGCCTTCAAGAGCTTCTTGATTTTAAGGATAAAAGTGCTGAAGATGCTAAAGCTATTTACGAGTAAGTATGTTAGCTTATTATTCTGAACAGAATTACTGACTCTTTAAGCATTATATAAAAATGTAAGTGTATTAAGCTGAACAGGGTTACTATTCCAAACAGAATTTTTATACCTTTTAAGCATTGTAGAAGAATATAAATTTATTAAGCTTAAACCTGCTGATGGACCACATTAGAGAAATTGATTTGTTTTTTAAGCTTCCACTACTTCAAGCAAATGGCAACATATGCATTTATATAAATGATTCATTTTTTTACATTAAGGCAAAGTTCAATTGTGGTGATGCATGAGAATCTAAAGGTGACAAGAATACCACTTGAACTGTAAGCCTGAAGAGTATATGCCTCTTCCAATGGGCAGCCACCCTCAGCTCCTGTTAGTCATTTCCATATGGAAATACTGTGCACATCACCAGTTTTTCGGTTTTTAAAGAAAGCTACAAGTCTAGGTGTTTAATGTGAAAGTCCTGATTTTAAAAGATTGGCTACTAATTACAGTCCTTTTGTCACACTAAGGGCTCTGAAAACATGACAGTGAGTTTCTATGACCTGTGATCTGTAAGATAGTATATACATGTTTCATAATCAGCGTACTGGAGTTGGTAAGGCCAAGTGGTCACCTCAGGTGGTTGCCTACTTATTCTAATGAATGTTACTCACAGCAGAAAGACCTCGTCCTCAGAATGTTACACATCTATTGGACTGTCTTTAAAGAAAGTGATAACACTTCATTTTTTAAACATAGTTTAGGTTTGAAAATAGTGTATATCAAAAGTTTGTTCTGGGCTTACATGTGGAACAGACTATAGGAGTGATGTCAATTAGTGCTTAAAATAAGCACTAAAATAATGCATTTATGCACAAAGAAAGTAAGTGTGTTCAGGTCATATAGCTAGCAAGAGGTGGGACTAAGATTTGAACTGATGCAGCCTTACTTAAAATGGAAATATTAGAAGCCTGTGTAGAAGTGATACAACATTCTGAGAACAGTCACTCAAAGCTGAACCTAGAAAATAAACAGTCATGCAGAATAATCATTGTTTTTTTAAGAGATGAAATAAAGGGGGACTGGAATTAATTTGTTGTTTTTGAGGAATTTTGTTATTTGCATTTTGGTTTTGAAGATAATTACAAGGTAGGAATTCCAGAAATATTTTGAGTAGTGACAGTTTGGTTTTGAAGATAATTACAAAGTAGAAATTCCAGAAATGTTTTGAGTAGTAAGAACACTGGAATAAGTTAATATTCCTCAGGATACTGACTCTACCTGGGAAAGTACTCACTGGAAGTACAAATTTTGATTGGTAGGTGAGGAGACCAGTTTTCTTCATAATTAAAGCTTGTTTCCTTTTTTATTCGGTTTAAATTAATCATCCAGTGTTTTCCTAGTAACAAAGATGAGAAGGCAGTATGATTGGAAAATTTTTCTTTCAGTGAAGTGGATACTTTTCTTCTAGTTTGTAAACTTACAGGATGAATGAAATAGGATTCTTTTGTTACTTTTCTGTTTTAAGAGTGCCTTTTCTCTATCCCAGAGTTGACGGGCTTTATTGGCTCTCTCATTTTGATTCCTTAACAGAGCATGTCTTCCGGAGAAGCCCGTGTTCTGCCTTCCTTTATGCAGGATGTTCCTGGAATGCTATCCTTAGAGTCAATGCTCAAATGGTCTGGTTGAGAATGGCTAAAGAAAACTCTTAATGTATTTATGATTTTGTTGTATGGCTGCCTTACTGGTAGGAGTCTGAAACTTAAATTTTGAAAATTTTATTTCAGAGGTCCTTATACCTTCAAGGATTTGACATATTTTATGATATGAAATATATTTAAGTACACAGAAGACATGCACTAATGTTCTTTTTATTGAGCTAGGGACTTGTCTTCTAAGCTTGACTTAGCTTATATTTTAGTATTAAATTCTCTTGTCAAAATATTTGGCTCTTTGTACAAACAGGTTTGTTTAGCTTTACAGATACTGTGATACGAATCCGAAACCGACACAATGATGTCATTCCTACCATGGCCCAGGGTGTGATTGAATACAAGGAGAGCTTCGGGGTGGATCCTGTCACCAGCCAGAATGTTCAGTACTTTTTGGATCGATTCTATATGAGTCGCATTTCAATTAGAATGCTACTCAATCAGCATTGTAAGTGTCTTAAAGTCAAAGGAGAAAGATCTAAAGTGTTGATGTATTTTAAATTTATTTAGAAGATTTCCCTTTAAAAGGAACATTTAGTTTTACTTTTTTTATTAAGAAAAATAAGTAGACTGCCATGCAAAGGAGTATTTTTATTGATTGTAAAATGGCATATTTTTGCTTAAGGAAAACAATTGTTCTATTTGGCACCATTTGGATAAATAATCTATCTGGAGATGATAGGTAGATTCATTTTGTGTTTTTTATCCTTTACTAGCTTTATTGTTTGGGGGAAAAGGAAGTCCATCTCATCGAAAACACATTGGCAGCATAAATCCAAACTGTGATGTAGTTGAAGTTATTAAAGGTAACCACATTTTTCCTTTCTAAAAGGATGCAAAAATCAGAATTATTGAGTATTATTTCTTGTGATTAAAACAACTATTTGTATTACTATATGTGTAATGAGATAAAATATGAGGAACAAATATATGGGTTTGAAAAGCCCTTTATAACATGAATTGTACAGTATGTATAAGGTGAATGTTTTATGCATAAATTTTTTTATTAGGAAAAGTTTTGTGATACTGTTGGACTCTGTTCATTTAAAAAAATTCATCTCTATTCTCCAGTTTCAGTTTCTAATTCCTTACAGTAGTCTTTTGCTTATTTTTCTAAAACTGTAATTCATAACAGTTTGGTTTACATCTTTTCATATTTTTTTCTGTTTATACCACGTGTATATATACACATACAAATTGTTATTACATTTTTTGTTTTTAGAAGATGGGGTGTTTTATACAAGTTTGCAGACATCTTACAGTCTCAGTACATTTGAATATAACATCAAGTTTTTGAATGACTTTGTAGAGTGTATCAGTATGTATTAATCTGTTCTCTGCTGTTGTAGACTTATTTTTTTCCTGTTACCAATAATACTGTAGTGAAATTCTTTAAATATATGCTGTTATTGCTAGTGTTTAATAAGGTTAGATTCTTAGAATTAAAACATTCAAATGCATTGAAAATTTTGATACATCAAAAAAATTTCCATGTATTTCTCAGTATTTGATATATATATTGTTTGCTGTTTTTCTTTTGACATGTTTATGGTATTTTTTTCCCATATAATGTTTTTAATTTCTTTTTTTTTAAGAGCTTAAGACAAAAGAGGACATAACAAAGCAGATCAGATCAGAACAATGCAAGTAACACAGCATTTTACCACGAGACAACCCATAATTAACAGTAACTACCATAGTGTATCTTTCTTTTAACATAGTTCATATACAATAGTATCAAGCATAACAAAACAGTATAAAACTATTCAAGAGAATGAAAACATTACAGGGCTTTCAGAACCAAATAGCAGAGAATGAACAATGGCTACTATATTATCTCATTTTCCATAGAAAATTTGTTTATACTATCACACATAATAATATCCAATAACATATTACAGGATAGAACCAAAGGCAACAGAAAAACAAAAGCATAGTAGGTCTTCAGAGTAAGATGATACTAAATCAGCTCTGGCTATTCTAATGTCTTATTTTCTTTTAAATAGCTGTTTATACTATCACAGATAATAAAATCAAACTAGGGTAAAACCATTCCAACTGATGAATACAGACATTATAAGGCTTCAGAGCCTTATATGGGGAATCATGATTACCATAAACTTTTATGTACTCTTACCATTTCTTACACTCGGGAGACAATACGGTATTTATACATGTGAGTTTGATTTATTTCGCTTATGAGTATGGTCTCAAGTTATGTCCATTTATTTATAAATATCTCAATGTGATCATTCTTTAGCTGAGTAGTACTCCATTGTATAAAAATACCACAGTTTTTTATCCATTTCTCAGTTGATGGACACTTAGGTTGTTTCCAAGATCCAGATATTACAAATTGTGCTGCTATAAACATGGTGCACATATATCACTGTGGCATGATGTTTTCAGTTCTGGGATGTTTTTAATTTCTTATAGTTGTAATATATTTTGTTATTAGGCTGTTAGGCTTTATCTTGTTATTTTTATAAAGACCTTCCTCAAACTAAGATCACTGAAGTATATTTTCTTTTGTAGGAAGTTTTAATTTTTTATTGTTATTACTACCGCTATTTCAACACATTGAAGTGGAAGTACATCTATTTAATTTTTTGTTTGTTTGTTTTAATTCATACTAGATGGCTATGAAAATGCTAGGCGTCTGTGTGATTTGTATTATATTAACTCTCCTGAACTAGAACTTGAAGAACTAAATGGTAAGCTTGATGTCTTTTCCTCAGTGACTAGTGTAATGACTACCTGAAAAGAAATCATAAGTGAACTTAGATTTGTTTTGAGCGAAAAATGCATTTTCATCAACTTCTTCATAGGACTTGCATGCTAAAGAAGAGAAATCATGTTAAAAAAAATTACTCATATATATGTATATTTACTTGGACTCCTTATGAAAAACATTTTTTTCTGTTCCATTTTCCTTACTTTTCATTGGTAATATTTATTCTTTGCTTAATTGTAATTTTCTGGATAGTCACAGAAAAAAATGATGCTAAGAAAGATTGACCTTTTTTTTTTTTTTTTGAGACAGGGTCTCACTATGCTGCTCAGGCTGGTTTTTAATTCACTTTGTAGGCCAGGCTGGCCTCAAAATTCGCAGCAGTCCTCTTCAGCCTTCTGAGTGTGCACAGGAGTGTATTACAGGAGTGTGCATCCATGTCCAGTTAAAATTATGTGACTTTTATATATACTTCAGTAATGTAAGGCTTACCCTTTTTTCTGTTTCCTGAGTTGCAAGTCATTTTTCATTATTAAGGAAGTGAAAAGACTGAGATGTAAAAAAAAAAAGGAAAGAATAGATCCTCAAGTAGATGAAGATGAATTTCTCTGGTTGTCTTTTCACTCTGTCTAATGCCTTTTAAACAAGAAGAGTTTTAGAGATCTAGAAAGGAGATTGATGAATCTCACTGTTTTCCCTAGAGGTATGTTAAGGTTAAGATGATACTTTTCTAGGGGATGGGGTATGGTTGTGCCAGTGCTTGGAATTAAGCCCATCTCCAGCCCTTTTTTAATTTTAATTTTAATTTTTTTCATTTTGGGATGGGGTCTTACTGAATTGCTGAGAGACCCAGACGTGACTTAAATTTGCAGTTCTCTTGCCTCAGCCCCTTATAGTGCTTGGATTAGAGGTGTGTATCATCCTGTCTGGTTAATATGACATTTTAAGAAGGTGATGGAAAGATTAAATTATAAAGACGCTTTTACTAAGCTGTATTCTGGACTTCAGAGTGGGAGAGCAGTAGAAACTACCCAGTTGAAAATAGAATTGCTAAAAAGAATCACACAATACACAGTTGATAATTTGAGAACATGAACTGCTATGGCAGTTTGTAGTAGTTCCATTTGTGATCCCAGGAATTTATTCATAGGAGAGTCTTATTTATTGGTTGAATTTAGTATTGATTTATTGGTTAAATTATTCTAAAGTATGTTGAGTCTCATCCCTTTGCTATGTCATAGATCTGTTCTGTATATACACAGCCTACCCTTCCCCACTCCGATGGACTCTATTAAATATTTGAATGTAGAATTAGTATCCCTTGAGAAATTGATGCTAGTCTAAAAGTTTTTTTATTTTTTTGAGATAGGATCTTGCTATATCATTAGATTGGTGTTGAGTTTACATCAATCCTCTTGCATCCTCCTCTTGAGTGCTGGGATCACAAGGGTGTGCCACCACACCAGCTGAATTTTTTTTAACTGAAATAAAATGTACCACATTCTATTCAGAGGAAAGACACAGAAATGGACTTTTAAAAAAAATGTATTAATATGAATGAGATTGTATTTACAGACTTTAGTACTTAACTTTGGAAAGTAAGATTCCTAACTAAATGTTGAGTATCCTTTAAAAACACTTAACCATTATGGAGAAGGATGGGAGGATGTGTTGCTTAAATTGTTAACACCAGATTGTGAGAAATGACCACAGGCTCTGGTCTTTCTCAGTTATAAATGTTTGTGAGTTTGGGATTCAAACACTAATACAGTGAAGAAACGATGTGACAGTTTTTCCCAAATAATACTGTCCTCCATAGGTAATGTGTTCTTTTCATCACTACACAGTTTATTCTTAAAAATGCTTTACGCACATCTCTCTGTACTTTCATATTTTTCTCTTCTGCTCTGTAGCAAAATCACCAGGACAACCAATACAAGTGGTTTATGTACCATCCCATCTCTATCACATGGTGTTTGAACTTTTCAAGGTTTGTAAAATAGTATTACATAACCTTTATGAGTCCTTTCTGAGGATAGGAATCTTCCTGGAAAGTCAATATTCCTCTGAGAACTGTTCATTAAAACAGGCATGCTGTTTCATGCTTTATCATGTCACGCTGCTACGGAACAGCCTTCCATTGGTATGATTGGGCACCTTCATGTGCTAAGCTCAGTCTTCCACCACCCCACAGGACTGGCCTTGAACCCAGGCCCTTTGCACTGAGCTACATCCCTATCCCTTTGTTTAATCTTTTATTTTGAGACAGGGCCTTACAGGGTGACTAAGTTGCCCAGACTGGGCTCAAACCCCCAAACCTCCTGCTTTAGTCTCCCAGAGAGCTGCAATTACAGGTATATGCCACCACACCTGGCTGAGCTCAGACTTTGAGGTCACAAGGACCTGGGTTTGAATCTCACCTGTGTCACTTAATATATTTGTGACTTTGGGCAAGTCACTGAATCTCTCAGAACCTTAGTTTCCTCTTCTGTAAGACCAGAAAAGCACTACCCAGGGTTATTTATAAAGATTGAAGCTGGGCATAGTGTCATATGCTGTAATCCCAGCATCTGGAGACTGAGACAGAATTTCTATGAGTTTGAGGCCATCCTGAATTACATTGTCTCAGAAAAAAAAAGATTGGGAATAACATACCAAGTGTCTGAAACAATAGTAGCACGTATGGGTGCTCAAAAAAGTTACGGTGCTATTTTTATAAACGTATTTACAACAGCAATTGCCACCTTTCTACCCCTGCCTTCCCCCATAAACATGCCTTTTTTTTTCTTTTAAGAAAGTCATTCAAGCCGGGCGTGGTGGCTCATGCCTGTAATCCCAGCACTCGGGAGGCCAAGGCAGGAGGATCATTGCAAGTTCAAAACCAACCTGGGCTACAAAGTGAGCTCAAGGCAAGCCCGAACTGCACAGCGAGACCCTGTCTCAAAAAACAAAACAAAACAAAAAAAAAACCCCACACGCACAAAAAAAGAAAATCATTCATATGGGTTTACCGGGCTCCTGCATTGTATTTGCTTTTTATGACAGATTTTGAAAACTAAATAAAATTATATAGGTATTTGTTGAGAGTATTTTGTGTTTTTCCCCTCCAATGATGCTTACTAGTTGAGCAGTAAGTGGCATAGGTTTATTTGTCTGAAAATAACTGCCCTCAATCAGAAACCTGTTGAGTCATTTTAGTTACTGTGTCTTTAGCTCGCATCAAATTAGGAGAAAAGATAGCTTTCTACTTGACAATGAAAAAAAGAGAAATACAGTGAAACTGACTGAATACCTCAGAAAAACAAGAGTTAAGAACGCTGTTATTATTCTAAGATGACAAGAATCTAACTCCTTACAAAAATCTATCAAAATGAGGGGTGGGGATTTAGCTCAGCAGCATAAGCGCCTGCCTTGCGAGTGCGTGGTCGTGACCAGTACCAAAAACAAACACAAACAAAAAGTATATCAAAATGATCTGTGATTGAATTTAAAGTGCTAAAACAAATTTTTTCCTTAAAATTTCAATCACATAAAGGCCTTGTGCCCTGTAATGGTGAAGAAGAGTGTTTCAGAATCTTTAACTTTATATAATCCCTGTGACAGTGGCTTTCCTATGGAACCTGAATTTAAACTGCTTTGGTAGAGATGATGCAGACTCTTTGTGAGATCTATTTAGTCTTGAGTGTTGTGCAAGGGCCACTCTTGTTCTAAAGTCAGTCCTGACTTTTGCCTTTTTAGTTGCTTTTTTTTTTTTTTAAATAGTGCTGGGATGGAACCCAGAGACTCACACGTGCTGGCAAGTGCTCTAATGCTAAGTAGCCCTCTCTACCAGTTGCATCTAGTCTTTGCTTTTACTCCAGTGCTGTGTGCCATGCTGTTATTATTTAATGCTTACAGTATGTTGCCACTGCATACCTCATATCCTTTGGAAATTGGTCAAAATAGTTTTACAATGTAAATATCATTCATTTCAAATTAGCATAAATGATCATAAGTCCATTGTTCTTGGTACCATAGGGAAAATTTTTTTTCTTTTTTGTCTTTTTCGTTTTTATCGGTACCAGGGATCGAACTCACGACTGCCTGCTTGCAAGGCAGGCGCTTATGCCGCTGAGCTAAATCCCCAGCCCCTAAAAAATTTTTTTCTTAAAGAATTTTATAACAATCTTACTCTTTAAAAGTAGAGTTGAAGATTATATTTTGAAAATATGTTTTGTCCATTATCAAAATTGTAGAGTACAGAATTTTATTTTTGCTTTAATACTTCAAGTATGGTTTAAAAATGTCTAGAAGTTTACTTTTGGAAAACATGCAAAATTTAGTTGGATCCTAAATCAGTATACCATATCCCTCACTACCCCCGCAATTGTCTCGACTCTTAATCATAACTCTTTAAAATGGATAAAGAATTATGATTGTTGAGCTGGGGATGTGGCTCAGTGGTAGAGCTCTTGCCTTCCATGCACAAAGCCCTGGCTTTGATCCCAGCACCACAAAAACAAGAATTATGATTCTTTAGTATATTTCCTTCAAATTTTCAAAAAATTTAAATTCACATGATATATATATATTTGAAAATTACAATTAATTTCTTTTTTAAAAAGTTACTTTTAACATAACTCTAATATATTATATTTCAGAACGCAATGAGAGCAACTATGGAACATCATGCAGACAAAGGTGTTTACCCCCCTATTCAAGTTCATGTCACACTGGGTAACGAGGATTTGACTGTGAAGGTAAACCTTTTAAAAGCAAACCACCATACAAGTCCTAGAAGACAGTTCATTCTCGGAGGAAAAAAATCTAGTCTGTAATACTCTTTTTTTTTTTTTTTGTCTTTTTCCTTTTTTATCGGTTCCGGGGATCGAACTCACGACTGCCTGCTTGCAAGGCAGGTGCTTATGCCGCTGAGCTAAATCCCCAGCCCCTTAGTCTGTAATATTCAATAAGCACAGTGCTTCATTTATCTGGTAGGTTATAGAATTATCTCCCAAGTCTGTTTCTATTTTGGTCCTTAATCCAAGTAAATCCTAGGAACAGAGAATTTAGCATTAATCCTGAGTAGCCACTATGATAAATAAGATCTAAAATATTTGGGTACTTGTGTGATGAAAGACTAAATGGTTTTGAGCCAGGCATGGTGGCTCACGCCTGTAATCCCAGCGCTCGGGAGGGTGAGGTGGGAGGATCGTTGTGAGTTCGAGACCAGCCTGGGCTACAAAGTGAGCTCAAGGCCAGCCTTAACTCCATAGCGAGACCCTGTCTCAAAAAAGACCAAAAAAAAACAACCCAAAAAGAATAAATAGTTTTTCATTTTTAAGCATTACTTTTCCATCTACTTATACTTGTATCTCTTTTGGGTGTCATAACAGCTCCTTAGGAGCATAAATAATTTTATCTTCAGTTTGATGAGGGCACTAAGTGATAAGCTTGGAGTCGTACAGGGAATAAATGCCATGAGATCTGAAATCCACTCTTTGACCCCAGTGGCAGCTTAGACTAATTAAATAAAGTGAAGAAAATAAAAAAATTGTTGGTTCTTGTCCATTTACGAACCTCATTCCTTAGAGATAATCATTTAATTATGTCTTGCAGTAGTTAAAGGTTATATTTCTGAGGAATCCTCTAATATTGCTACTTTTGAAATTTTCACATTTCAGATAGCAAATATTAGCTCTCTCTAAATAGAAGCTGAGGAAATTTAAGCCCCTGAGGTGTCAAATAGAGCACGTGTTCCCCTCCCCCTACCCAGCCCTAAGTACCATGTTATTCCATTTTCCTAGTATTGAAGTTTATAAGTAGACTTACAGGTTGAAAATACTCTTGCAGCCAGGCGTGGTGGCGCACGCCTGTAGTCCCAGCTACTTTGGGAGGCTGAGGTGGAAGGATCGCTTGAGTCCAGGAGTTCTGGGTTGCAGTGCGGATGTCCTCACTAAGTTCGGCATCAATATGGTGACCTCCCGGGAACGGGGGACCACCAGGTTGCCTAAGGAGGGGTGAACCGGCCCAGGTCGGAAACGGAGCAGGTCAAAACTCCCGTGCTGATCAGTAGTGGGATCGCGCCTGTGAATAGCCACTGCACTCCAGCCTGGGCAATATAGTGAGACCTGTCTCTTAAAAAAAAAGAAAGAAAGAAAATACTCTTGCAGAATTTTGGAAACACCTGCTGCCGTTCTGTTTCTTTTTTTTTTTATCGGTACTGGGGATCGAACTCAGGACTGCCTGCTTTCAAGGCAGGCGCTTATGCCGCTGAGCTAAATCCCCAGCCCCCTGCTGTTCTGTTTCTTAAAAACATGAAATTCAGAGTACCATACAAAGTTGTGTAACCATTACTACTGTCTAATTTTAGAACATTTTTATCACTCAAAGATTTCAAAACCCATTAATAGTCACTCCCTGTTTTCCCCTCAGCCCAGCCCTTGGAAGCCACTAACCTACTTTGTCTCTCTGGATATCTCTATTCTGGGCATTTTGTTTAAATACAATTTCACATAATTGTAGTATATCTTTTGTGACTTTTATCACTAAGTGTAGTGTTACAGCATGCATCAATAGTTCATTCCTTTTTGTGGATAATATCCTGTTAGATGCTTACAACATTTTGGCTATGCATTCTTCAATTGATGGGCATTTACTTTGTTTTCATTTTTTGGGTATTGTGAATAACCCAATAAACATGTGAATACATGTTTAAGGTTTGTGTGAACATGTGTTTCTGTCCTCTTAGGGATGTATGAACAAGTTGAACTGCTAAACTGTGTATAGCTCTGTTTAACAATTGAGGAACCCCCAAGTTATTTCCACAGTGACTGCAGCCTTTTGTATTCCTATCAGCGGTCTTTAAATGTCCTAGTTTTTTCGTGTCCTTTTCAGTACTTGTTATTCTCTCTTTTTAGTATTGCTACTTTTGGCCGTGAAGTGATATGTGACTGTGGGTTTTGATTTACATTTCTCTAATACTAGGCTGATATTGAGTGTCTTTTCATTTACTAATTGGCCTTTTAAAATTTATTTTTTTCAAGGAAATGTGAATTAAGATCCCTTGCCAAGTTGTAAGTGAGCTATTTGTCTTTTGACAGTTGAGCCATAAGGGTTCTCTCTATACATGCATTGTATATATACACATATATATATATATATATTTATACCTACACTTAGTGGCTACTAGTCCATAGTGAGGTATATATTTACAAGTGTGTTTGCCTATTCAGTGAATTTCTCTTCACTGTGTGTGTGTGTGTGTGTGTGTCCCCTTGGGGGACTTGACAGTGCTTTTCTTTTTTTTCTTTTTAAGACCAGATTTCACTATGCAGTTGAGGCTGGCCTCGCACTCAGTCTCCTACCTCAGTCTCCTAAGTGCTAGGATTATAGGTGTGTACCACCGCACCCAGATTGACTGCCTTTTGAAGCACAAAGTTTTTAATTTTGAAAAAGTCCAATTCTATTATTCTTTTATTGCTTGTACTTTCAGTGTTACAGCTAAGAAATCATTGCCTGCTCAGAAGTATCAAAAACTTGTGCTGGTGTTTCCTTCTGAGCTTTTAGCTTTAGCTCTGACATTTAGATTTTTGATCCATCTTAAGTTAATTTTTATATATGGTTCATAATGGAAGTTCGTCTTCATTCTTTTGCATGTGGGTATCCAGCTGTCCCATTTGTGGAAAAATTATTCTTTCCTCGTTGAATTGTCTTGTGACCATTGTTAAAAAGCCATTGCTCATAAATATGTAAGGTTTAATTTCCAGGTTTTCAATTCTGTTTCACCAAACTATGTCTCTCCTTATACTAGTACTTATTCCTATCTTATTGCAGCTTTAAGTATAGAAATTGATTAAATATGTGTCTTGAAACTTCATTCTTCTTTTGCTTCTGCTGCTGCTTTTTCTTCTTCTTTTTCTCCTTTTCTGCTGCTTCTGCTTCTGCTTCTGCTTCTTCTGCTTCTGCTTCTGCTTCTGCTTCTGCTTCTGCTTCTGCTTCTGCTTCTGCTTCTGCTTCTGCTTCTGCTTCTGCTTCTGCTTCTGCTTCTTCAATTGTTCTGGCCATTGTGGGTTACCTGTATTGTCATTCGAAATCTAGGATAGGCCTTTCAGTTTCTATTTAAAAAAAAATCTAGAATTTTGATGGGAAGTGTCATGTTACTTTTCTAATCCATGAACTCAACGTATCTTTCCCCTTATTTAAATCTTGTGAATAGCATTTTGCGATTTTTACTATAGAGTCTTACATATTGTTTATAAACTTTTCCCGAAGTATTTTTTTATGCAATTGTCAATAGAATTGTTTCCTGAAGTACATTTTTGGATTGTATATTTCTGGCATATTGGGATATAATTTATTTTTGCATCTTTGCTGAGCTTGCTCATTGGCTAATAATATTTTGTGGATTAGTTACGATTTTCTCTACACATGTCTTCTGCAATTCGAGATAATTCTTTTTCTTTTACAATATAGGTTTTCTTTTCTTGTTAATCAGTGTGGCTAGAACTTTTATTTAGTACAATATTTAAGAGAAAGGATAAGAGATACCTTTGTGTTTTCATAATTCTAGGAGAAAGCATATTAACTGTGGATTCTTCATAGTTGTTCTTTACTGGTTTGAAGAAATTTGCCTATTAGTTTATTGAGTGTTTTATAATGAAAGAATGTTGGATTAGGTCAGGTGCTTTGTTTTGGTAAAGACTGAGATAATTGTGTGTGTTTCATTATGAATTATTTTATTGGTTTTGTTTGTGGAACAACACTACATCTTAGGAGTAATTTCACATTGTTTTGTTTTGTTTGTCTTTTTCCTTTTTTATCGGTACTGGGGATTGAACTCACGACTGCCTGCTTGTAAGGCAGGCGCTTATGCCGCTGAGCTAAATCCCCAGCCCAATTTCACGTTTTTATAGTCTGTGTTGGTTTGTTGAGGATTTTTATGTTAATATTTACAAGATATGTTTATTGGTGTGTAGTTTTTGTTTCTTGTGATTTGTTTGGTTTTGGTATTGGGTTAGCACTGACTTTATAGAATAAATCCTCTTCTGTACTTGGAAAAGTTTTTCTTTCAGTGTTTGGTGGATACCTCAGGGAAGCCTTCTGGGCTTGAACTTAGCTTTGTGAGATTTTTGGTTACTGTTTCAATCTCTTTAATTGTTAAATATTCAGACTTACTTGAATTTTCTGTTTTTTCTTAAGTTATTTATTATACCTTGTGTGTTTCTAGGAATTTATCCATTTCATTAACTTATCATTGCATGCAGTTATTCATAGTATTCCTTGGTCATCTTTTTTTATTTTCGTAGGATTAATAATGATGTCCTCTTGCTTTTTAAATTTTTAACTAATGTGTAAAATTGTATACATTACTGGGATATGACATGTTTGCATATATGTATGTATTATATAATGTGTAAGTTCATAATTTTAAGCATACCTGTTACTAAAATATTTGTCTTTTTATATGGATGAAATCATTAAAATCCTTTCTTTTAGCTTAAAACATTTAGTATATTATTGTCATCTATAATCATCTTTTATTCCTAATTTTATTAATTTGAGTCTTCTCTTTGTTTTTTGTCAGCATAGCTAAAGATTTGTCAATTTTGTTAGTCTTTTTAAAGAACTGTCTTTTGGTTTTATTTTTTTTCTATCAGTTTGTATTCTGTTTTTATTAATTTCCATTCTCTTTTTTCCCCTTTCTTCCTACTTATTTTAATGTTAGTTGCTCTTTTTCCAATTTCTTACTTTAGCTTAT